CCCGCCGCGCGCGTCTGGCCGAGCGGGTGGCGGGCGCGCCGGGACCACCCCGCGATGCTGCTGCCGCCGCCGCCGCCTCTGTAGGGAGCGCCCGAGCCCGTTGCAATGAGAGGTCGGTGACTTTCGGTTTGTTTCTCTGCTCTGCTCCTCCCGGGTCGGGGGCGGCGAGAGGGGCGCGAAGGGTGGGATCCCTTCGCCCCCACGGCGGCCGAGCCTGGAGCCAGGGAAGCAGCGAAAGGGAGCCGCCGCCTGGTGTGTTGGGGGGCTCCTTTTGGGCAGCGGATGGGGGTGGCGGGCCGCAGGGGTCCCGGGGAGGGGAGTGCGGGGCACAGCGGGGCGGTCCCGGGGCGCTGGGGAAGGGGGCTCCCTGGAGTTGCGTTTCTCCGGAGCGCCGGCGGAGTTGGGCTGGCGGCTGGGGCGGGGGAGCGGCGCTGTCGGCGGCTCCGCGGAGTCCTCGGATGCCCCCTGGAGCTCCAGTCCGAGGGAGCGCGTCTCGCGCCCGCGCCCGCGCCGCGCGCACCCCGGAGGGTGCACGTGCGCGCGCGCCCCAGCTGCGCCCCAACCCCGCACGCACCCGGGACGGTCCCCTAGCAAGCCCCTTGTCGGGCAAGGTCCCCACCCCCAGAAGTTGCCCTCGCGCGCCACTCCGCGGCCCCGGGACCCCTCTCGGGAGGAGAGGGAGCCGCGGCGGGCCAGATGTTAGGGGTCTTTTGTGCGGACCCACGTGTCTGGGGCGCTTGCTTCTGGAAGGGCAGCGGCAGGACAAAGCCGGCTGGACGCGTGGGACGCTGCACGCGAGGCGGCGGTCCCCGATCCCGCCTAGGGTGGGGGTGGGGCGGGGGGAGCGCTGCACGGTTTTGGAAAGAGTAGAGAAATCGGCAAAACAGTGACATGGACTTGATGAGGTGGCGGACAGGGGCGAGGGAGAGGATGCTCGCGAATGCAGCGCTGGTGTGTCTGTCTGGGCGGGTGACCCGGCGCCCCGCATTCCCTGATAACCCGGTTTACTAGTATATTTTGCTAGTGTGTCTTTGCCCCGAAATATTATTCTACGCCTTCTGGTGTTTCTTTCTTTCTAAGGGGTTACGTAGAGTTGCTGGTGGAAGCTCTACCACCCGAGGAGAACTTGGGGGCGGGGGAGACTGCAGCGGAGTGGGGGGAGGGGGTTATTTATCCTATAGAGACAATTAAGCAGCGTTACGCCCCCTCCGCGGCCGGCCGGCCGGCTCTCCACACCTCCGCCGCCTCCCTCCACCTCCCCGCGCACCCACTTCACCGCCGCCGGCCGGGGAGGGTGCTTGGATTTCTTTCTCTGCTACGCGAGTCTAACCCTTCCCGCGTGTATTTCACTGCAGGGTGAACAAAGCTCAGGCTCAGTTGTGCTTCCTGCTTGTCAGCCTCTTGCCTCCCAAACGCGTACCATTTCCACTTGATGTCATCACACAGAAGGGGGTGAAAGGGACTCGGTGACAGATTCAGGTAACCCCCAGCAGTCTGGGTAGCCGCCTGGGTCATTTGGGCCAACAGTGTTTGCACGGGGCTGTTTGGGTGGTTTCTGCATCACACCATTCCTTTCCTGTCTGTGTGGAAGAGCCGCGGGGGGCTGCTGATAACTCCTGGTTCTGAGAAAGAAATTGCAAATGACTTGAAACCTTCCTTTGAAGAAGTCGTTGAGGGCAGGGCGCCTTTGGGGTTGAATCAATTCCACCGGGTTTCCATTGATGGGAATTTTGATGTATTCTGTACACAGACAATTGTATCTGAACGTGGGGTTTGGATAGATGCCTGCTTTCTTATCTGTAGTAATATATTTTGGCTTCAGTCTGTTCATGGATATCGCTTGTTGAAAAGGTATCATTGTAAGGCCGATTGTAAATTTGACCAGTGCTCAATTAGGGCATTGGTCAAATGTAGTAACCTTACGAAATAATGTCTCTCCTGCAAGCCTTCATTGTAATAGTGTTTGCAATATCAGGAGGGACATGCCAGCAGTAAGTTCCTGGGAGGTGGAACAGAGGGCAGTTGGGGGAGCAGAAAGAGAACAGAGAAACGGTGCTTTGGTTAAGTTTCCATTTATATAGCTATGAACTATTAGGCTCTCAGGCTGCATTTTATCTTTAGGTTGTTGGTTCTTTTCCAAAAACTCTGGCCTGTTCCTTTCTTTCCAAGGATAGTTCTGTTTTGATGTCAACCTAACGAAATCTGGGGTTCTCTGGACGGGGCTCAATGAAAATGTCACCTTCAGACGTGTCAGATCACCTTGGCATTGGCATTGGCATTGTCTCCTAGAGGGCAGAGTCCTGGCATCCTGCACGAGGAGCAGAAAATAACAATGGTTATGGAGGTGGACTCAAGGTTCATCTTGTAGGAAGAAGGCATTGCTGAGGGCCCGAGGCTCCTGGTGCTCCTGCAGCAACAGCTGCGCGGGGTCTGTGGCAGATTCTCCCACACCGTTCCCTGCCCTCCCCCCGCCCCCCCACCCCCCGCCATCCCTTGAAAAATTAAAATTTAAGAACTTGAAGGATTTGTCATTCACCTCTAGGGTAGTTCTGAAAGGTGACTTTAAGAAAACCTAAGTGACACTGGCATGTATCCTTCTCCTTGGAGCATCCAGGAATCACCAGGAGAAGTAAAGGAGGTATCGGGTCCCTGCTCGAACAAAGGCCACCACTTCGGGAAGATCAGATTTGTGATGGTGCTAGGACAGAGGGATTCTGACAAGTAATTTTTATGTCAGCAATAACGCAGGGTGTGTGCTGTGTTCCTGCAAGAGGAAAAGCCACGTGATGGGATAATAAGGAGTGTAATAATGCAATAGAAACAAAGGGTGTGGTTTTTTTTTTTTTAATAGAAAAAATAAATACCTCACACACAAAATTCCACATGGGAAAACGGCTGCCTGCACATGTAAATGCACGTTCAAGAACAAAGATAGCCACAGTGCAGTGTTCGGTTTCACTGTGGTTTTAAACGGTGTGCAGGAATAAATCATAATAAAGTGTTGTAGTGATGCTTATTTTGTTTTTTTTTAGGTGGAGGCTCCCCACCCCCAGAGGTCTGCAGTAGTGTGTTTAGCTGTGGGTCGGGGGGGCCCTAGAAGGGTTATTAGACCAACCTTTGCCTCCAGTGCCCAAGTCCTTTCTACAATGTTCCTTTAAGTCATTCAGCAGATGTTTATCAAGCACCTGATAAATAATAGGTTCTGTGAAAAATGCCAAGGGGTGGGGGGGGGGGCTGTCTGGAGACATAAAGATGAACCACCTTCGGGGAGCTTATGGAAGACCTGATTCTAATTAAGTTCAATGGAAGCCAGAGAGAGAGGAACAAAGGGTGGTACTGGACTTCTGAGGGAGGAGCATATGGTCATTGAATGCCTCTTTCAGTGGGGAGATCACTACTTCCTAAGTAACTGGACCTGTTGTCAGAAGGTGACCTTTTCTTCATAGGCTTTAAACTCTGCAGCTGAATTCCACACGAATGTTTAGATTTCACTGTTGTTGAAAGGTCATTCTGTTTCATTCCTTATCCCCCTCAGAGTTGCTTGAACCTGTCTATCCTGTCTGCACCATCTACATTGGAAAGAATTACTTGAATTTTGAAACAAACTCTGCTTTTTGGGTATTATCTGATTTAGAAAACAGATGGGGGACAGGAACTTTTGCAGGTTTCTCTCTTTTTTAAAGCAGCGATGTTATTGGCAATTTAGGTTAGGTTATGCTGCAGTAAGAAATCACCTCCAAATCTCAGTGGCTAAACACAGTTTCTTTCCCGTGCTGTGTGCCCGGCGTGGTCAGCAGGTAGGCCCTGCTTGTCGCAGTCACCCGAAGACCCAAACTGATGGAGGTGTGATCTTGAGTGTGCAGCATTGGAATGGGAACTAGAGGATCTTGCTGTATTAATGACATGATTGGGCCCAGAAGTGACTTACATTGCTTTGGCCAGAAAGTGCTAGGACCCCATTGAAACCACAATTCAGTATTTCTTGTCCTGAAAAAGGGGGAAATGGATAGAGGTGAGTGATCACTAATGACTTCCACAGGTAATGTGGCCCAGATGAGGTTACAAAGTGTCTTCCTGTGAGGCTGGCTCATGCTTTGTAGACACTGGGTGTTACACAAGTATCACTTGAAAGAATGAATGATAACTATCTTGAAGAATCCAGTCCTACCCGCACATGGTATTTACTGATGTGTTGGTATTATATTTGCTAATACGATGGTACACTGACCATCAAATAAAAAAAATTATAATGTTCTCTCTTGTTGCCTGTTTTGTGTAGTTGTTTATTCTGATGTGATAGGCCGGGAGATGGTTCTAGGGCTAGTTCTAGGAGGTTCTGTGCTTAGCATTATGTAACAGAGCTGTTACTTACAGACTTTCTCTCCCTCACCATCTGCCTCTTATCTAAGACTTCCTGAGTTTGTTTGAACAGCCTAGGGTAAGAAAGGAGTGGCAAAGGGGGTGGCCTCCCACAGCAAAGATTGCAGGGCCCCAGAGAAGACATCGAGGGGGCCCGAATGTGTGTAGGGTGGCCTTGGGCCACCCCCTCGTTACTCCGATGTTTAGAAAAAGCACTTTGGATGAGTGACGTTTTCTGGTCATGGGACCAGCAGAACACCCAGAGAGTTCTGGGACATTCATGCCCCCATCAGCAACCATGTTGACAAGGAGAGTGGTTAAGTTTTAAAGCCTGCCTTGTTGCATTGTCCCTAAAAATAGTTGGGTGCTGAGGAATAGGCATTGCAAGGGGCAGCGGATTAAGTAGTTGGTGGCCTGTAGAGAGATTTTGCTGTCGGAAGTGCTGGTTCCTCAAATATCTTTGTTCATGTTGTGGTAAACGCGTGCATGGATTAGAATTTTTAGGATCTGAGAAGTACCTTCGGCATAAGTGTGGAATTTAACAAAATAGTGTTGCTTCTGGCTCAGTAATCACCTCGCTCGCTGAAGTCATTTTTATAAAAAGAGCTCTCCCTAGACAGGTGATACGGTGAAATGACAGCTGGTCCCTGAGTCACAGTGACTAGGGGACATCAGTGTTAGCCGAAGAATGCAGAGGCTGCCCTCTGCTTCCTCTGAGTGACAAAATACTGCACCCAAAGGGAGGGAAAGTGGGAAATAAGTGGCTGAGAAGCCGGCAGGGAGAGCCAAATATAGCCCGTCCACGACCTCCAGGAAAGAATCGGGGTGCGTGCGGTTGGGCTGAGGGCGAGGCGCAGACGGGGCAGGAGGGAAAATGATGCCCTGAGGGACTAGTCTCGAAATATATTTGGGAAGCTCCAAAAGACATTTCTGTGTTTTGTTTGGCCTCTGAGGGCCCACCACTTAATTAATTTCATAATTAGTCGGCTGACCAGGTAGAGGATACTTGTGGAGTGAATGCGGTGCCTGGCCCCAGGCGCCGTCGAAATGTCCAGAAAGCCGGAGGGGAGGAAGGTGTGGGTTTTCCTGCTCCTTCCCTCCTGACTTTGTGAGCTGCCCGGTGTTCCAGGAGTCCGCCTAAGTGATTGAGATCACCATTTGGATTAAGTACTCGTTTTATGTTTAAGGATTTTGTATTCCTGGTTGGCTTGCTGTCATGAAGACCTGAGGCCAGCAGCTGCGTGTGTGACTTGTTTCTCCTTTGGGTGGCCCTTGAAGCCTTTGGTTTTCCAGCCTAGGCCCTTTATGGCTGCTGAGGCCTGGAGTACATTTTTTGTAGAATTGTGGGGGCTCCTCGTGATCTACTGGGAGCGGAGGGCGTGAGTAGGGCAGGATGTCTTATTTGCCACTGGATTTGTTCATCCTCGCATACGTAAAGCTCGCTGCAGACATCCTGCCTGCTAAAACTTATTCTGACATCACGCAGGCTTCCTGGGCTACCAGACTTCATGCAGGGAAGGTATTGATCGAATGCAGCTGGGAGGGGCAAAGACGTGATGAAGTGGGGTCTTGGGGCGCCATGTTCTGTGCCCGTGCTTTCTCTCTAGTCCCTCCGACCTACCTCCCAAGGAAATGTGGCTTTCCTGCCTCACTTTCCGTTTATAAATCCAGAAGAGCACATTTAGTACACTCCTCACTGAGGTTCTACAGTCATTGATGAGATTTTGGCAAAAGCTCTGACAGATACCGTGGAAATAGGAAACATTCTTATGAATATTGGGATTCTGCTGATTAACAGATGAACTGTCCCTCCTTAATGACAGTTCCCATCTCCCTTAGTGTCTCTCCTCACCGCTGTCTCCCACCTGAGGACTTTATTTCTCTCTGGACTGTGAGAGTGGGTACCCTTACCTCCTGGCTTTCCCACCCCAATCTATATGACAAAATGCTGATACCCTTGGGACAGTAGGCCATTGTAAGTGTTCATTCCCTTGCTTAATACTTCTCAGTGGCTTCTGTCTTTTGGGGATGAAGTTCATATTTTTTAGTCTTCCCTTTAAGGTTTTTCCCACCTAGACCCAGACTTCATTCTATCCCTGACTTTTGCTCTGCCTGACTTTAAAACACTGGATGGTGAACCCAAAAGTCCCCAGAAATGCTTTGCATAGCCTGTTTAAAATTCTGGAATATTCTGTGGCCTACGATGTCCTCTCCCTATATTCTGTCAGTCAAGGTGTGACTTGGCTCTTATAACTCTTCTAAAAAATTTAACTTTGCCACTTTAGCCCATAGCAATCCTTCACTCCTCCAGAGTTCTCTGGTAAAATTACCTTCATCTCTCATTTTGTTCAACATTCATTCATTCTACAAAGGGCACTTATCATAGATGGTCTTGTATTATCACCCAAGATTGAGTGGTCTCTCTTTCTTTTTCTTTCTTTCTTTCTTTCTTTCTTTCTTTCTTTCTTTCTTTGAAAGAAAGTGAGAGAGATCCAGAGAGAGAGAGCACGAGCAGGGGGGAGGGGCAGGAGAAGCAGACTCCCCACTAAGCAGGGAGCCCCATGCCACGATGGGACTCGGGGCTCGATCCCAGGACCCTGGGATCATGACCTGAGCGGAGGGCAGATGCTTAATCGACTGAGCCACCCAGGCGCCCGTCTTTTTCTTTCTTTTTAATTGCAAAGAACAGAAACCTACTCAAGCTAGTTCAGATAAAGGATGATATACTGAAAAGATGTCCCAGGATGTGAATGGGACTTTTCCAGTCACTGCTCAGCTGGGGGAGAGGGTGAGGGATCCAATTTCCTCCAAGGGGGCCTTGGAGCTGGTGGATGTAGGGACTGAAACCAGCAAGATTTCATATCTCTTGCAGGCTCCTTAGAGATGAATACTGGATGAGGTTTGAACCTATTTTGTATTTCCCACTGTGTTTGTACAACATAAGGGCTCAATAAATACTCAATCATTGATGAATCTCTGATAGCACAGAAATGATTTTGACCTACTGATAAAGGAATTATAGATGCTTTTGGCCTTAGACTTAAAGGAAGTTAAGAAGAAGGAAACTTTTTTCCCCCTGATTTTATTTATTTATTTATTTGAGAGAGAGAGCATGAGCGTGAGTGGGGTGGGGGAGGAGCAGAGGGAGAGGGAGAAGGACACTTCCTGCTGAGCGCAGAGCCCAACACAGGGCTCGATCCCAGGACCCCAAGACCATGACCTGAGCTGAAACCAAGAACTGGATGCCCAACTGATGGAACCACCCAGGCACCCCGAGGGAAACTTATTTTTAAGAGCTTCCCCTACTTGCATTAATAATGATTAAGTATTGAATCAAATTAGAGTTGCCAGGCGTCAGTGCGCATTTCAGTAGTTGGGAAGTGAACATTCTAACAAGATGAATTGTTATTGGTAGTCTGTTTTTCATCTTCTGTTTGTCTGCTTCTTCCAAAACAACAACAGACATCTGGTTTGCTCTACCTCTTTTGATTTTGGAATACTCGTTCCCAGGATAGAAACCCTAACCCTTGGAATGCTTGATCATTACGGATAGCGTTATTAGGAAAGAGGAAATGTGTTTAGCTGCTTGGAGAAAATGGCCACGGATATGTTAACATCAAAATAATGTTCTCAGTTTGAGGGCTAATGAATGGAGCTGAGCTCAATGTCTCAAAAACAAAGTATTTGGTGTGATATTCTTTTCCAGTTGTATGGCTCTGGGGTGGGTTTGTAAATTGCTTCCTTGTAGGTTAATATGAGGTTAAAAGTGGTTGGAGAGAATGTGGGTAGATCTCTGTACCTCGTCTGGAGAATTTGCCCCTTTGTTGCATGCGACATAAGGATCATGGTCATTGTAAGGGAGTGATAGCTAATTCAACCATCCAGGTAGAGAGCCATCTTTATCCAGGGTAAGTACTTGTCCATCTGGTCCTACTCCATCATCTTAACACTTGAGAAACCTAAGGTAGGAATCCATCTATTCACCTCTGGTGATGGGTAAAATAGCATTTGAAATACTGAGAACCAATGGCTCAAACCCTGTATTAGGTATAAAATTGTATATTGTATATATTAAATTGTATATACTAAATTGTGCCTGCTGTTTACTAGGCACAATTCTGCACAATTCTAAGTAAAACCCTTGCCTTGCCTTAGCTTAATGTACAAACTTAACTTGTAATTAATTTGGTTTTCTGCCTTTTTTTTTTTTTTTTTTGTGGTGGCAAAGCTGAAAGGGGACAGAATAAAAGAAATGTATCTGATACTCTTCTCTGTCAATTCTTGATCTGTTACCATACATACCCGTCTTACTTGATCCTAATTCAGTTGAGTGATTAAAAACCTGGAATTTTTGAAGCAAGATGGGTTTGGGTTCAAGTGTTGGCTCTGCCGTAATGACCTTGAGTAAATAAGGTCTGACTGAGCTTTGGTTTCTTCACCTGGAAAATGGAGGACAGCCTCACTGAGTTATTTGAGAGTAAGTCAGATCTTTACATAAGGTGCTTAACGTGTTGCCCTGTGCATTGTAAATGCTGCATTGTGGTGGCTATTATTAATGTCCCTTTTATTCAGCATCTGCCATCCACCAGTTGTGGTGTTGAAATCTGGAAATCTCGGGATGAATAGTTGTGCTCTGCTCTGAAGAAGCTCTTT